TTGTGTTTTCCTTTAAAATCAGAATTTTCTATGTTTAATTATAAATCAGAATTTGTGTTTTCTCTCTTATTCTGATTTTTGTATTTTATTCAAAACAGGCGGAATTAAAGAAATTCTGATTTTTAATATTTCCGCCTGTTTATATCAAAAATTCTGAAAATCAGAATTTAATGTATTTCCGCCTGTTTTAAATAAAATACAAAAATCAGAATTTAAATTAAACAGGCGGAAATATTAAATAAATTCTGATTTTCAGAATTTTCGTTTATTTCCGCCTGTTTTATTTAAATTCTGGTTTTTGTATTTTTCCCACACAAAAATCAGAATTTCTTTTTTCAGTACCTTAGCGCTCACCAAAAATACAGAGAAGCTTTAAAATACGCTAAAGAGCAAGTGAAATTTCGAACAATGGCTATTGATATTGCAAGGGAAAGGGGAGTTTTAGACTTTGACAAACTTACTGGGAAAGTGAAAAAGAAGCAGAAAAATGGAATTGATGCGGAGGCGGTTATTAGGTTCTGAGAAAATTTTGAAAAATTTTCTGAAAATTTCTGAAAAATTTTTTTTGAAATTTTTTAAAAAAATTTTTGGATCAAAAATTCAACTAAAAATCAAAAAAAAATTTTTTTTCAGTTCAATAATTGAAGAAAACATAAATATCAGTGGCGGATACAGGCCTCCTTCAGTCTACCAGACATTAGCTTGGCAATTGGTTATTTTTAAAATTAATTTTTTTATATTTTTAAATTCGTTTTTAACCCTGAAATCACCCAAAAAATTCAAAAAAAAAAAAATTAAAAAAAATTTTTTTCTCATTCAGATAATTTTGCCGGTAACTCTGTTTGCTCAACTCCGTTGGGGAGCCTCTTGGATATTTAAATTTTGGATTTGTAAAAAAGATTATGATGATGAAGCAAAATTGTATTTAATTAGGAGAAATTTGAAGCTTTCTGAAGAACAATTTCAAGTAAATTTTTTTTATTTTTAAAGTAAATACAAAAATCAGAAGTTTAAAAATATTTCCGTAAATTCTGGTTTTTTGTATTTTATTTAAACAGGCGGAAATACATTAATTTTAAAAATCAGAATTTCCTATGTTTTTCGCCTGTTTTAAATAAAATACATAAAATCAGAATTTAAATAAAACAGGCGGAATTATTTAATAAATTCTGATTTTCAAAATTTATTAAATATTTCCGCCTGTTTTATTAAAATTCTGGTTTTTGTGTTTTACTTAAAACAGGCGCCTGTTAGGTAAAATACAAAAACCAGAATTTCAATAAAACAGGCGGAAAAATTAACAGGCGTAAATACATGAAAAATTCTGAAAATCAGAATTTATTTAATATTTCCGCCTGTTTTAAATAAAATTCAATGCTTATTTAATTAATTTTTCTTAATTTTTCAGACAACAGAACAAAAATTAATTGATGAATATTTAATTAAAGAATTGTGGAAACGAGATGTGTTCGATCAGTGGAAACATGAAAAGGATTTGGAAGAAAAGGAGAAATTGGCAAAATCGGGTCGTTATAAACAATATCAACGATTCCAACGGAAAAATGCTGGGTAAGGAGAATAATCAGAATTATTTGAAGATCAGAATTTTAAAAAGATCAGAATTTTTCAGAAAACCAGAATTTTCTATCAGAATTCTTTAAAAACCAGAATCATTTTTCGGAAGATCAGAATTTTTCAGAAAATCAGAATTTCTGAAAAAATCAGAATTATTTTTTTAATTTTACAGGAGTACAATATCATTTCTGGATGAAATGTGAGGAGAGAGAATTTGTTATGTTTGCAACAACGAGGTTATAAATATTATTTTAAAAAATACAAAAAAGCTTTCTAGCAAATATTTATATAATTTGTGATTTTATATATTTAGCTAGTATTTCCAATTCAAAAACGGTTGTTTTATTTTCCTATTTGTTAAAAATGCAAGCTTGTTGCGTCAAGAAAACTTGCGGACTAGATTTGCGGACAAATCAGAATATTTTCAGAAATCAGAATAAAAATCAGAATTTTTTAAAATCAGAACTTTCTTCAAAAATTGCAAAAATCAAAAAAATCCGCAAAAAATCTGCGGACAGTCCGCAAAAGATTTTTGCGGACGTCTGCAAAAAATTTGCGGACGTCTGCAAAAAATCAAAAAAATCCGCAAAAAATTTGCGGACAATCCGCAATTATACAAATTTAGTCCGCAAGTCAACTTGCCCCCTTAGAAAATATTTTTTGGCTGCAAACAATTTATCTGTAATTTTTCGTTCCTATCTAAATTACATCTTTGCCATTTTTACTCATTTTTTCGTTTTTCATATTTTTAAATTTACTCAAAAGTTTTTCTTTTCTTTTTTATTTCTGTTTAATTTATTCATTGTTTCTCAAAGTTGTTTGTTGGTATTTGAGTAAAATTTTAGAAGGGAATTTTTTTTAATTTAATAGAATGGGAAAATTTGAAAAATTTGTCCGCAAAAAATTTGCGGACATCCGCAAAAAAATTTTTTTGCGGAATCTTCGAAAGATTTTCTACTTTAGACGGAAATACTTAGGTTTTAGAACGATACAAAATATTATTTTTAATTCACACAAATTTATGTGACCATACAAAACACACAATTGACAACCCCAAAAGGGTACGCCCCAAGGTACCACAGGCTCGAGGTACTGCAGAGCTATAACATCGTTCAGAATTGTCGAATCGGGACGCCCTGGTATGGTTCGATACAGCTAGCCGAGACGCATCGAACCATGCCAGGGCGTCCCGCATTCGGAAAATTCTGAACGAAGTTATAGCTCTGAGGTACCTTGGCCTGCTCCTACCCCAGAAAGTCAATTGACAGCTTTAAAAAAGACCCAAAATTTTTTATATATTAAAAATTAAATTAAACATTAAACCAAACGAAAGTTTGTAAAATAGTAAAGTCAATAGAGAGATCCTTCCTCATTCCTTTCATCTCATTTTGGCTTGGCAGAAGCTTGTCCACGAAGAAGAATGAATATTTGCTCTTTGATAAAGTCCTTTCCCTATAAATTGGGGAAGAAAATGAAAAAAATTTCCGCAGCCGCAAGTCAAAAAGTAATCCGCAATTACGGACAGCCCTGATGTCAACAGAGCCTGACTATTCTCTACATATGAATGAGTTCGCATGAACTAGTATAGATAACTCAAGTACCGTCCCTAGCTATAAGTCTCTGGATAGGGAGGAGATTCATTGAAGGGGACCACAATGCAGTATCGGCTTAGGAAGTCTTCGAAGCCTCACTGCAATTATTGCTAGAAGCTTTCGCTCACCACGGACTAAAAAGGTGCTCTACCGATGAGAGCTATTTTGGGTTGCTACTTGGCATTCTCTTCCATTAATAGACCTTATACCCCCACCTAGTAAACGTTTTAAATGTTAGCAATCTCCAAGGGTGTAACTGAAGCCCCCTCCTCCCGAAATTGGGGAAAGTGAAAAAATTTTAGTAAACACCAAAATTTTGGCTCACACCCCTATTTTAGCCTACCCTCTGAAATCGGCCCCCTGGCTGCGCCCTTGGCCTCTCTATCCTTAAAAGTCGTAAAATTTGCCCAATTTTTTCAACTTCCCCGTCCTATTTTCCTAAAAAACAACCCAAAATCCCCCAAAACTATCCCGTAAAAGCTCAAACAAACCTTAGGCACATAAACATTTTTATCCAAAACCAGACAGCACAAATCAGCCAAACGATCAATAAATTTGAAAAGGTCCGAGATGTCGTATCTAAAGTTGAAAATTTCAAAAACAAATTTTTAAAATTAAAAAAATACTGAATGCATGGCAAATCTGGATTTAATTTTTTAAGATGTTCCTCATAAATTTTGCAAACTGCTTCCATGCAGTCTGTCAAAGTTTCATAATCGCTCCTTAAAAAGGAATTTTAGATCAGTTAAGGAATGCCTCAAAGAAAAGCCCCGTTAAAATACCCGGGCAGCTCACAGTCAGAGGACACTTAAAGGAAATGAGCAGAGCTTCTAACAATAACTGAGAGCGCAGACTTATGTGATTAATCCGCAAAATATTTTCCGCAAAAAAATTTTTTGGTCCAAAAAAAAATTTTCTAATCCGCAAATAAATTTTCCAGTCCGCAAAATCTTTTAATCCGCAAATAATGTCCGCAAGTAAATTTTGACAGAATTTAGGCAAAAATGAAAGTCGAAAAAGCTTGTACCTTTTAAAACCCCCGAAAAAATAAAAATAATTAACCATGTTCTCGAGTCCACTTTTGCACTTGATTGAATCAATAAAATAGTATGCGTCATCTTTTAAGTAAACTTTAAAGAAACCTAAAGTAAAAATAATTCTGATTATTTTTGTATTTTATTTAAAACAGGCGGAAATATTTAAAAATTCTGTTTTTTAGTATTTCCGCCTGTTTATATCAAAAATTCTGAAAATCAGAATTTATTAAATATTTCCGCCTGTTTTATTTAAATTCTGATTTTTATATTTTATTTAAACCAGGCGGAAATACATTAAATTCTGATTTTCAAATTTTTGATATAAACAGGCGGAAATACTAAAAAACAGAATTTTCAATGTATTTCCGCCTGTTTTAAATAAAATACAAAAATCAGAATTTAAATAAAACAGGCGGATTTAATAAATTCTCATTTTCAGAATTTTCGATTATTTCCGCCTGTTTTATTTAAATTCTGGGTTTTTTTAATATTTTAATTAAAACAGGCAGGAACAAACAAATCCTGCCTGTTCAGAAAAGAAAGTTTTTAAAAATATTCTGATTTTTGTATTTTCTCAGAAATTTGTACATTTCTGATTTTAAACAAATTAAAACACACATAATTAATTTTCAACAAATTTATTTAATTTTTACTGGGCAGAAAGGGTTTACAATTTACGCATTTATTTGCCACACAAAGAATTTATTTTTAAAAGAAAATATTTTTTGCCCTAGAATTTAACAGAAAATTTATTTTTTCTTCCTCATTTCTTATTCCATTTTGCTTTCATTTTTCTTTAAGTAAACGTCTGCTTCATCAAACGAGTATCGCCTTGCATACGAGCCTTGCAATCCTTGAGCAAATCATTGAAAGATTGACAGAAACTAACGTCATTTTGGCGCTCAGTGCTTAAAAAAATTCAAAAAATTCAAAAAAATTTCAAAAAAATTTCAAAAAAATTTCAAAAAAATCACAAAAAAAATTAACCAGTCCAAGAATTGACGCCACTCAACTTCACAGTCATTAGAGTATTGCTTCTGTCCACCACTCTGTTGCTCGTTGTACATTGGCTGCTGCTCCTGTTCAGCAGAACGACCACCAGAGAACATATTGCCAACAGCATGACCCTATAAATTTAGGAAAAATAAGTATTTGAAGGGGACGGACTGTCCGCAAATTTTTTTGTCCGCAAAAATTTTTGCGGACAAATTTATTTTTTGCGGACAGTCCGCAACTTAGTGCGGTAAGATTTTTTTGCGGACTTCTTAATGTAGGACGAAATCGACAACGGTGGGAAGAATGGGGAAAGTAAGAGAAGGCTCATATCAACTAACCCAAAGCTAACTTCCCATCTAAACTCAAGTCTCAAAAATAATCTTTAAAGAAATACCACAGCCGATCCAATAGCAACCCCACCAGCAGTCGCAGCCATTTGCCCTAAAAGCCCAGGTTGGCGTTGCTGAGGAGCAGGAGGTGGAACAGTTGCCGGAGTAGTAGTACGCATTGGAGACGACGGAGCCCGACGAACAGGTCCGCTGGAACGAGGAGAGGCACTACGACCACTACGACGACCCATATTTGTAATTTATGATAGTTTGTGATAAAATAGATTGTCTGAAAAAGTAAAAAATTAACGATTTATTCGATTAAGAAATGAAAAATGAGCAAGTCCAAGGCTAAAAAAGCCTATTTTTAACATAAAATTTCATCTAAATTTACTTTAACACTTCAAAAGACGTTTCTAGAACCTTAAAAATTTGGAAAAATAAATCTAAACACAAATCGAATGACAAAAAGCTTTCAAAACTAAGCGAAAAAGTCAATAAAATCGAACAAAAATCAAATGACAGCAAAAGAAATTGATTGTCAGGCTTTCAGACATTTTGCCAATACCACATATTGCCAATAAGGGATAAATCCCACATTTTGCCACAAACTTGATGACAAAACGAGAGTTTTTACTCTTATTGGCAAAATATGTATTGGCAAATTGTCGCACATTACTTCTAAAATATGTGTTGAAATATACATGTTGAGAAGAGAGATAACGGTAAATAACGTTAAAAATGAGAGAAAATAATAGAAAAAGAGAAAATAGATACTACACAAAAAAAGAAAAAGACTGCAAATTATTACTGTAATTAAACGGAATGCCAAAATCAATAAAAGAAATCTTTTTAAAAGGCAAATTGAAGGGGAGGAACGTTTTTGTCCGTGTTTTCTTCGATTTTTAAGGGCTTTCAACAATTTTTTTTTGTTTTCTAACAGTTTTTTCTACTCATTTGTCGACATATTGTTAGGGAGTGTAGATAAAGTTTCAGATTTGAATAAATATAACTCAAGAAAATGGGCAGAAAGAAGAAGAAGCCGCAGAAGCCTTGGTGTTGGTAAGCATTTTTTTGAGAATTTTGTTGTTAAATTCTGATGTCTCATACTGTGATTAGGACAATCAATATGCCATCTGAAAGAGACCGTCGAGCATAGTCGAATGACGCCACACTTAAGCTCGGGTATCAAAATTGACCTTACAAGCCTGGTTGTGGTCTCATAATGGTCAAAAATGTAAGGAGGGACCAAGCTGATTTTTGGTGTGGAAATTCGAATATGCAGGTGATAGTGAGCTTAAATTGGGTGGCATTCGATTCAGCTCGTCTGGCTTTTTTAAATGCCTTATTGATTGTCCTCATCGGAGTAAGGGACATTTGACGGAATTTTCCAAAATTTTTCTTTCAATTTTTCGTTTAAAGGTATTGCAATCGGGAATTCGAAGACGAAAAAATACTCATTCAACATCAAAAAGCCAAACACTTCAAATGTCATATATGCAACAAAAAACTCTTCACAGGCCCAGGGCTGGCTATTCATTGTATGCAGGTACACAAGGAAACGATTGATAAAATTCCTGGGGCAGTGCCAGGGAGGGACAATGTTAATATCGAAGTTTATGGAATGGAAGGATTGCCGCCCGATGCGTTTGTTGAATTTTTTTTAAATTAAAAAAATTTTTGAAAATTTTGAAAATTTTTTGAAATTTTTCGAAATTTTTCAGAATTTTGAAATTTTTCGAAATTTCGGAAATTTTTAAAATTCATTCATTACCCTTTCAGAAAACCTAATGAAACAACTCCACCACCATCTAAAATCCCCCGTCCTGCAATGCCGCCTTTACCACCTGTTGCTCCACCCATGTTAATGCCTGGGATGGCAGCTTTGCAACAATTCCAGGCGGCTGGTGGTTTGATACGAATGCCTGCGATGGGGATGAGGCCTTTTATGCCACCTTTCGGTTTGTTTAAATTTTTTTTAGATTATTTTCAAATTCTTGTCATTGTTTCAGTCGTAAGAATTCGAAGAATTTTTCGAAAACCATACTCGAAAGGATCCTATTAGCCCCCTGACCCACTCTTGTCCCGCAATTGAAATCAAGTCTTCGACCCTAAACCCGATACGAAGGAAATTTTGAGAACCCGGCCCGGTCTATTTTCTCAACCTTTTCATCCATGGTCGTTTTATAAACCCTAAGTGCTGAGACCCTGACTCGACTTTCTTCTACCTTGACTTGCCTAGTCTGTATGTAAATCTACTTTCTTTTCCCTTAGGCCCCAATGGCTCTTTTCCAATGATGCGTCCACCAATTCACGGCATGCCAGCACAAATCATGTCAAATATGATCCCTACAAGTTCGTCGTCAGCTCCAAATTTCTTACAAATGGAAGATGCCCCGCCATTGCCGCCAACACCGGCTGCTGCTTTTGCTGCTTATCAAGGTTTTTTTAATTTTTTTTCTCAAAAAAAATTTTTAAGGTGGAGAATCAAAAGATACGAGGGGCGAAAATAAAAATGATGAAGGAGGAGAGGCGTCAACTTCAAAGAAACCTGAAGGAGGGGTTTTTATTGGCGCCAAAACGAGGATAATTTGCCCGGATGAGTATGAGTCATTGGTATAATTTTTTCAGTTAAATTTAGAGAGTTAGATCCTCAAAAAAGATTTTTGGGGTGTGAGGCTACAACACGATCCTAATTTTTATTTCACTCAATTTTCAGGAGGAATTGAAAGCAGACCCATCTTTTTTGACTCCCTTTTTAGGCCTAATCTAGGGCCCCCGAATATCATCTTATGATTTAAGCCCCGTGCATTCTAAAACGTTTTTGGTGGGGCTCATCCAAGGGATACCTTTATTTTTGTTGTTTATCAAGGTTTTGATGAGTAACCTCACTAATTTTTTTCATTTTTGGAGAAGAGATGGATTTCCCTTCCCCTACCAATAATTAGCTTATTTATATCTGCCCCAATTTCCAGGAGGAATTAATGGCAATACGTATCGTTCCACAATTTGCTCGCAGTTTAGCAGCTCATTTTCGACCTTAAAATCGAAATGGTATTGGGAGACATTTATTTTTTTGTAAGTTTATAAGTTGCTAAAATTCAAAAATATTTCTGACCTCCACCCAGTTTTCTCTCCACAAAAATTTTTTAAAAAATGGAGGAGAGGCGCTTCTCTCAAAAAATTTTTGAGATAATAAAGTCTCTCGAATTCTTGTCTGTGTTCTTTCAATTTGTTTTGTTTTCTCTTTGCAACAGAGAGGTTAGCGAAAAAAAATTGTAGAAAAAATTTTCTCTGAAAAATATTTTTAAAAATTTATTTAAGTAAAGGAAAAAATCAGAATTTTTTAATGGGAATAAATTTCTTCAAGGTTTGAATTATAAAAACCAAAAAAAAAGTTTTTTCTTGGCATTTAGCTATGGCACTACAAGAGCAGGAAAGAGTTTATCAAGGGGTCTTTATATAATTTTGAAAAAAAATTTTTTTCGTTTTCTTAAATTTATTTGGGTAGTTTGAGGACCTTAAAATAATCCCTGGTCTGTTGGCAAAAATTTGCAGAAAAATCCGCATTAATTAGAGAATAAACCGGAGAAATTTCCTAGAAAATTTCTCTTATATCCTTTAATACAATCCTCGTTTATATTTTTTCAATAAAAAATTATTTTTCAGATTTGTCCCCTGTCTGATCGAGGATTTGAAGAGCCCTCTCCACCAATAATTCTTTTTTTACCATTTAAAAAAGTAAATTTGTTTTTTGAAAAAAAAGGATATTGATAAATTTTGTATTTTTTTCTATCTGATAAATATTTTAATTCTGAACATTTTTATTTCGAATTCTAAATTTAATTTTAAAATTGAATTTTATATTTTTTAAAAATTATCTTACTTGTTTTACCTTTTTCATTAATTAAATTCAGCCAAGTCTCACTAACATAAGTTCTTCCTGACCATTTTGAGCCTTTTTCCTTCTCTTTTCAGAGGGCAAAAAGTCAAAAAAGCTCAAAATGGTCAGAAAACATTTTACATATGGTTGCCCACTGTGTGGGTGGAGGGGCTAACATAAGAGATACCCTCTATTTAACATACACCTCATGAGGTAGCCTCTATTTAAGCCCAGGCATTTTTTGACCTTCCTGGGGTTTTCCTGGATACAGGCCCAAGTCAATAAATCTGGCCCAAGTCCAGGAATAGACCCTGGCTTTTCAAAAATCTCCATCTCACTTCAACATAAAATACTACTTATTTCAGCCCTCAAAAAGTGAGATTTGACTGTTTAATTTTTAACTTTTTTTAAGAAAATATAAATTCTGAAACTTTATTTCAATGACTTCAATAAAACATCCATCAATTTTGTGGGCTCAACGTGTAAATCAAATCTTTTTGACAATTGAGGATGGAAATTTAAAAATAAATGAATTGGTGTGTGAAGAAGACAAATTCAAAATTGTGGGAGAAAAGGGTGGAGAAAAGTATGAGGCTGATCTCGTCTTGTATGGCAAATTGAAAGGAGCGGAACGGAAGAAGGTTGACACTAATCGAAGGTTTATATTTTAGTAATTTAACTGGGGGGGAGGGGGGGGGGTTTGTGAGGGTATTGGTTCCCTTTTCCTCTGTTTTCTAAAAAGTCCGCAAATTTTGTCCGCAAGATTATATTATTTTAAATAGGATCCTAGATAAGGAAAGAACAAAAAATGAAATTGACGTTGTTGGCGACCGGTTAATTTCAGCCTATGGCGGCTAAACGAGGAATTTTCATGACGAGTCGCCAACTTAAGAAGTCATTTGCTGCTCATAAAGCAGCTTGGGAGAATGAAGAGAACAATTTGTTCTCTTTTCACACTCCTCGCATTTTCTTGCCTTTCTCATTGTTCACATTTAGGGTTTGTTTTTATCGAGCGGGCCGTGCGAGTCTTTTTCGGGCCAAATATCTTAGGCCCGACTCGATCTTTCGGTTCGAGTCGGGCCATTTTTTTCAACCCTATTCACATTCATGGGTTCAGTATCCAAAGTTTCATTAAAAATGGGAGCATTGAGAAAAAACGAGGGAAGGAAATAGGATAGTCCTAAAGGATGGTTTTGTACTAACTAACGCCAGAGGAGTCGGTCATCCTATTTCTGGCACTTTTCTCATTTCCGATCTCTGATTAACACTTAAAATTCATCTCTCTTCAAAGGTTGGAACTCGTCATTCCAAAAGAAAAGGAAGAATGGTGGCCTCGACTTTTAAAAATGCCAGGAAAAGTTCCATGGATCAAAGTTGACTTTAATAAATGGAAAGACGAAGATGAGGTTTCTGATTATGAAGATGAAGGTATTACTGCTCCAATGGATTTTTCTAAATTTATGCCTGTCAATGGAGGAGGAGGGAGAGGTTTTGGAATGCCTGGTGGAGGTTTTGATGAGTTGGAAGGAATGGGGGGAGAGGAAGAAGAAGAAGACTATTTTGAGAATAATGAAGGGGAGGAATTGAAAGAGGATGAAATTGACGAGGAGGAGAAATGTGGGGAATGCTCTAGTGAAGAGAAGAAAATGGAAGAGGCTTCGAAGGAGTAAAGGAAATTTTGGAGAGGTTTTTTTTTTAATTTAAATGATCTTGACTTATTTGTTTTTTCAATACTCGTAATGAAAATCTCTCTCAAGTTTTGTAAAAGGCCTTGGAATGTTGGAATCACCTTTATCGAAATTTGCGGACTTTTTTACAAGCAATCGATTATTTGGAATAATATCCACAAATGTTGTCCGCAAATTTGGTAATTTCAGTTTTTGCGGACAAAACTTGAGGACTTTTTTTTTTCAAATAATCGATTGTCTGAAGAAAAGTCCGCAGATGTTGTCCGCAAAATTAAAAATTCAACTTTTTTCGAAATTCTTCTTCTTAAAAAGGTCTTTTTTGGTTCTATACCCCTTTTCAAAGGCACACTTAAAAATACACAATCACTTTATTGTTACTTTAAAACACGTTTTGACTTATAAAATAAATTAAAAAAATAAACTATCGTTCAGCAGCCCTTCTCTTTTCTGCCACCATTTTCCTCTTTTGTTCAAACTCCTTTCTGTCAAGTTCAACAGATTGTAACGTTCTTGCCAGAAAACGCTTATTTGTAGTTAAAGCGCGAGGTTTTAACCTGAAAAAAGAATTGAGAAAAAAGTACAAAAAGAGGAAAAAAGTTGGGGAAAATACGAGACACGCCCAAAACGGCGCGCGGCCATACCGGCGCAAAGCCATAACCTGCTTTAAGATTTCCGAATTTTACCAAATTTAGTATTAAACGATTCTTCTTATCGATCTAAAGAGATTGGTACCAAAATTCATAAGAGTCAGAAATTTCCCAGTAAGTTGTGACTTTGCGCCGTTATGGCCGTGCGTCGTTTTGGGCTGTACCCAAAAAATACAAGTTGAATTTCTTAAGGTTATTTTTTCGGAAGGTAGTATTTTAAATTTGGGGGTTTTCTGGAAAGATTTGTGTTTTAATTAAATTCTGGGTACTTGTGGATTTTTGCGGACATATTTATGCGGACTCATAATGGTCAGATATAAAACGTAAAACCCATTCAGCCCCCTCCCCCCAAATATTTCCCTCAAGCAACCTTCATTTCCTCGAACACATCCGAAAAAAATGAGAAAGTATGGATGCTCTGACCATTATGAGACCATTGTGATTGTGAGTCCGCGAATTCTGGAATTTCCGGAAACTTTGAGGACTTTTCCGGAGAAGATTTAAGTTTGATCTGGACCCAGACCTGGGGGTTTTTCCTATACCTAGAGTCCAGGTCCAAGCATTTTTTGGCCTTCGTGGGTTTTTCCTGGGCCTGGGGGTTTTCCTGGACTATAGCCCCCCCCCCAAAAAGCTTTTCAAAAATCCCGATCTTTATTGTAAATTTGTGTGTTTTTTCGGAAAATTTCCGGAAAAAAAATTTTAAAATTAAATTCCTTACCATCCTTGCGGTCCATATTCTTTAGCCCTCAGTGCAGAACGATTAGCTTCCCGAATCAATGCTTGTGTCGCCATTCCTCTCAACAAAACCTCCTCTTCTCCCTTTACTTTTTCAATTTTATTTTCTCCAATAAACACAACCTCTTCTTCTTCCTTCTTTTTAACGTCTTTTTTTGTGTGGTAAACAACACAAATTTCGTCGTCTTTCGAAGAGGTTGAGGAGGACTGAAAAAGACGAATGGTAATATTGAGCCTGACAGATCTCCCTTTTCTTCCCCCCAAGTTTTCCTCCCAAGTTTTTCCCATATATCTACAGAATGGTCAGACTTTTCCCTTCTTCCGTCCCAGTTGCCCTTCTATATTTTGCCTACAATCGAAAGGAATTAATTTTTATTCTTGTCACAACCCGAGGTGTATCCGAGATTTAACTAATGTCGACGATAATAACAGTTTAGCCAATGTAGAAATAAACAATGAAGGCGAAGGGAATGGGACAGACAAAGGAAAGATCAGTGACTAGCCCCGCTAGACTTCAACTAGACTGACGCTTTCACTTGCTTATATATTATCCTAACACCACTACACAACAATTCTCCCTTGGGTAGAAATAAGGAAACTTGGAAGGAAGAAGTTCTGAATATACTGAAATTATATAGAAACTTGGAAGGAAGAAATGGGGTCTGTCAGGTTCAATATTACCAGACGAATTTTTAAAACTTAAAAAAATTCTTTAAGAAAACCTGTTGATTTGTTTCATTTTCATTAACCATACGACGCTTTTTTGCTTTACTTAGAAGCATATTTTGCATTTTGCGGCGCTTTTCGTTGTCCAAATCGGTTGAAGTTGCCATTCTTCTGCTTTAAAATTTGTAAAAGATCAGGGGATAACTTTTCTCTATTTTATCTTTTAAATTAATTTATTTTTGGCAAAATGTTTAATTTTAGACTTTTTGTACCTTCTCCGTTCCTCACATTTTGTCAATTACACATTTTGCCAATGAGGCTTAAAATTTGCATTTTGTCAACAAGCAAATTTTCTGTTTGTGACAAAATGTAGATTTCTAGCCTTGTTGGCAAAATGTGTTTTGGCAATTTTTCCGTGGGAGTCTTTTTCTCAATTTTTCTCTTTTTCACTCTCCTGTTTTAACACACTATTTTCTTATATTTATCAAATTTTGTTTTTCAAGAATTTTCTTAGATTTTTTTCTAAAAATTTTCTGTCTAATATTTTTAGATTTTTTAGGTATTATAATCTTTTTTTTTATTCAACTTTTCATCTTTAAATAGAAATTATGAACAATTTTAATGCTTTTTCTGTTGCTTCAAGCAGTGGTAAATTCTTTTTTTGTTTAAAATAGTAAGTGGTGTCTCTTGGGCTTAGGCTTGTTTATGCAAATTTATTAGTTGAAATCTAGACTAATTTTCGAATCCGTTGACCTGTCAGTATCCTGGTTCCGGATGCTGGAAAGCCTAGGCCTATTTCCATCTTCTATCTGATCCACTATTTTCTTATATAACAGAAAATAGCTGGCTGAGCAGATCTGGATCTAAAGTCTAAAGACCCTGGTTGGCCCTTGAAAACTCAAATTTTGGGAAGATTCGGTTTAAATTCGATTTTGAACAATTTTTCTATCTCTGCAATTTTGCAATTAGAAATTGGTTTTGTATCAGACTTTAGGGTCAACCTCACAAATTGAACCTCCTTTTCCCAAACTCCGTCCATTTTTCCTCCCATTTCTTTACTCATCGTTGCTAGGTTGAGCAGATTTTTAAGTTCATTCAGACCTATTTTCTAAATTTATTTTTCTTCTTAATTCTGTTTTTAGTTGATCATCCTCCTCCACCTTTAGCCGAATCTAAACGGGAAGAATATCTGGCCAAAATTCTTCACACTGAAAGGCGCTTTAATGATTTGAGATTAAAATTGCATAAAGCTAAAATGTCGCAGGTTTTTCTTTAAATTTTAATTTTTTTAAATTTTTAAAATTCAGTTCGAAAAACTTCAAGACGATATTTTAAATAGGCGTTGTAGTATTTTCTTGAGGCGGAAGGCTCAATTGGATTCTGAATTTGATACAAGGAGAAAGGTTTTCTTTTAAATAAAATTTGTTTGGACTTAATGAAGCATGAGAAAGCGATCGTTTCTTTTCTTCTTGTCGAATTGGACCAAAAAATGGCCGAATTTTTTGTTTCTGTTGTTCAAAAGTTTTTTCCCTCATCGCCCCCTATTTGTTCCCTTGTCAGTCTTATCTAAAAATTTTCATTAACCGGGCAACATGGGATAATTACAACTCTTTTTCAGCCTTTAAAAACACTATCTGTTCTCTTCATTTGTCAGGCTGATCTGTTCCTTGTTTGTCTGTTCACTGGAATAAATAGGACAGATAATTTTGGGGGACAAGCAATTGGCGTTCTAAACGCCAAAATGTTGGCGCATTTTCCATTTTTAGCCCCGCTGGCTACGCCCTTGGGGACAAGTCTGGAAACTGGGACCACAGACTTGACTGCCATTTTTTTCAGATCAGACTTGTCTGTTTCGGTTGTTGTTCCCTTCTCAAGTTTTACCAAAAAATTTTATTAACCTAAAAATACTGGATAATCACAAATCTTTTTTATCCATTAAACCCCCCCCCCCCCCCACATTTTACCTTTTTGTTTAAACTTTTTAGAATCTTCAAATAATCAAAACTCTTCGACTCGATGCCCTCACAAGAAAACTAAATTTTCAACGAGAATTTGCTTTAAACAATTTTGAACATGACAAGGAATATACAAAACAACAAATATCTAAAAGGATTGATGAAAAACTGGAACAAGTTGAAAATGAAATGAAACAAATTGAAGGTTTTTTTTTCGAAATTTTTTTGAATTTTGTAAATATTGGAAAAATAAATATAGTCTTGAGGGTATTAAAAATTTTTTCCGGTTTTTGAATTAGAAAGTCTGGAACCTTTTCAAAATTCTTTCGCAAAATCCCTTTCTTTGAATAAGGAAGGAATGAAATGGGGCCCTCTAAAGTTCAAAATAGGGGGGATAGCACCCCGTCCCCCGACGAATTTTTGAGCAAAAACCCCGACCCGAATTTCGAAGGCTCTACCCCGGCAACCCCCGAAACCCGAAACTCTCGCCCTCGAAGATTTTTGGACTTATTCAAAAATTACTCGAAAACAATTTTTAAATAGTTGTTGGACTCTTAAATAATTTTTACTAAAAATTTTAATTTTTTCTTTCCAAATTTTTTTCAGATAATTTCCACCAAGAAATACTTTCTTCCTTTAATAATAATAATAATTCAACAACAAAATCATCAAAACAACATTTAGGAAAATTAAAATGGGGAATTAATCGTTATATAATTGAAAATAATGAAAATTCTAAAAATAAAAGAGAGGATTTGAGAAGTAAAAAAAGCAGTAAATATTCAAATTTACCTTTAATGATTGCACAATTGTCTAAAAATAAAATTATGGAAGATTTGGAATTAATATTATAAATAGTATTTTTTTATTTAAATTTAATTTTTATATATTTGTTTTTAAATTCTTTTTTGACTGAAAAAATTTTTTTTTGGAAAAATTGAAAAAAATATTTTTTTGGATTCTTTAAAATTTTTTTAATTTTTTTCCAAAAAATTTTGAAAATTTTTTTGTGAATTTTTTTTAATCCCAAAAATTTCATTAAAATTTTTATTGGGTTTCTCAAAATTTTTTAGATTTTTTTTTTGGAAATTTAAAAAAATTTTTTGATTTTTTTTTTGAAAATTTTTTCGGAATTTTTAAATAAAATTCAGAAGAATTTTCAAATTCTTTTCGAAAAATACCAGAAAAATAGTCAAATATTTTTTAAAAAATATTTTCTTTTATTCTTTTAAAATTCAGTCAAAAAAAATTGGAATAAAAATTTAATTTTTTATGTACAATATAAAAGAGACGTTTTGTGTGTGTATTGTAAATTAAATGAAATAAAAATTAAATTTTAATAAAAATTAATTTTTTTAAATAATTAATTAGCTTATTTAGCTTTTAAAAATATTTTTTTATTTTTATTAATGAAAAAAAAATTTTTTTTGAATTTTTAGATTGTTTTTCAACTTGAAATATGGCCTCTGTTGATCTTGACCAAGAAGTAAGTTTTATTTTCAGAAATTAAAATAAATCAGAATTTTATTTCAAGTTTAATTAAGTAATTAAACTTGCTTCAAGTTTGTTGGGAGAAATAAATTTCAGAATTAAAAGTTTAAAAACAAATCAGAATTATTTTAAAACTTGAATCAGAATTATTAAAAAACTTTTTTTCATAATTAAATCTTTAGAAAAAAATCAGAATTAATTTAAAACATGATCATAATTACTTAAAAACAAACCAGAATTATTTAACGAACAATTTTTAAATAATTCTGATTCAAGTTTTTATTAATTCTAAAAAACCAGAATTTTGTTAAGAACTTTTTCAGAATTTAAAGTTTAAAAAAACCAGAATTAGTTTAAAACTTGAAACAGAATTATTTAAAACAAACCAGAATTATTATTAGAAACTTTTTCAGAATTAAATGTTTTAAAAATCAGAATTGTTTTAAAACTTGATCAGAATTATTATAAAATCAGAATTTTTATTAAAAACTTTTTCAGAATTAAATGTTTTTAAAAAATCAGAATTATTTAAAAACAAGTTTAATTAATTTAATAGGTTCGCTTGTTCGATAACAATTCTGAACGTGACCGTATAGACAACATGTCAGAATTATATGCAATGATAAATGCTTTGGAATGTTTAGAAAAAGTTTATTCAAGAGATTATGTGCCTTCTAAAGGTTTAAAAATAAACAAAAATTTCCCCCAATTTTGTTTTCCCTAGAATACACAGCAGAATGTTCAAAATTATTAGTCCAAATAAAAGTTGCGCTTCGCCTAGTTCCGGGTATGAGCATTGAAGAATTTGTTCGTCAACACAGAATTCAATGCCCGGCTGCGTTGGAGCGTATTAGAGAAGATAGACCGATTACTGTTAGAGACGATAAGGTAGTGTGTGTTTTATAAAACTTGAAGCAGAAATATTAAAATCAGAATTTTATCCAAAACCTGAAATAGAATGTTTCCGGAAGCATGTTTCAATATAAACTTCAATCAGAATTTTTTAAAATCAGAATTATTTAAAACTTGAAACAGAATTATTTAAACTTGAAACAAAGTTATTATTAAAACTTGATCAGAATTAGTTAAAACCTGAAGCAAAAATATAAAAATCAGAATTATTTAGAAACTTGAAACAGAATTGAAAAAATATAGACCAGAATTATTATTAAAACCTGAAACAGAATTATCAGAATTATTCAAAACTTGGAGTATTAAAACTTGAATCAGAATTATTAAATTTTAACCAGAATTAAAACTTGAAATTTATAAATTATTAAAACTTGAAGCAGAAATATTAAAAATCAGAATTATTTAAAAACTTGACCAGAATTTTATCTAAAACTTGAAACAGAATTATTTTTTAAAATCAGAATTATTTAAAAACTTGACCAGAATTTTTTTAAACTTGAATCAGAATTTTATTTGAAACATCAGAATTATTTAAAACTTGAAACAGAATTATTTTTTAAAACTTGAAGCAAAAATAGAAGCAAGCTTATATTTGCTTCAAATAAACTCAATCTTGAAAATCAATTTTAAAATTTGCTTCATAATTAATTAAAAAATTTTTTTAAAGGGAAATCAACTTAAATGTATTGCTGACATTGTTGAATTATTCATTACTTCACTTGACCAACTTAAATTAAATATTCGTGCAGTTGATGAACTTTTTCCGAATTTAACTGAATTGTATGCTTCAATAAATGCAATGAGTACTCTTCCTGATGATTTTGATGCGAAAGTGAAGGTTAAATCTTGGTAGGTTTTCGTGTTTTATTATTAGTAGCATGCTTCTGAAAGTATGAAGCATGCTTCTAAAAATCTGAAGCATGCTTCTAAAATTTGAAGCATGTTTTCTAAAAAACCTGAAACATGTTTCTAATGATCGAAAGATATTTTTTTAAATCTGAAGCATGCTTCTAAAAATGTGAAGCATTCTTCTAAAAGTGTGAAGCATGCTTTTGAAATTTGAAGCATGTTTCTAAAAAACCTGAAGCATGTTTCAATAACCTGAAACATACTTCTAAAAGCCTGAAGCATGTCTAAAACTTAGTTTAAAAATATGAAACAAGCTTCAAAAATTCTGAAACATGTTTCTAAAAATTTGTAACATACTTTAAAAAAGTGGAAGCATGTTTCTAAAAATGTTTAGCAAGTTTCTAAAAGTATTAAGCATGATTATAAATTTTGAAACAAGTTTTACATGCTTTCAAAAATCTGAAACATGCTTCTAAAAACCTGAAGCATTTCTCAAAAAATATTAAAAAATTAAAGGTATGATAAACTGCATGGTATGGCAGCACACGAAGAACTTTCTGACGAAACAGCTCGTCAAATGATTTTTGAACTTGAAGCAGGCTATAATGCTTTTCAACGTTTTTTGCGAAGCTCTTAAAAAGGATAAAAAATAAATAATTTTTTTTTATTAATTTTAAAATTTTGTGTTTTTTAATAAATATTTTTGGATGTCTTCTAATTTGGATGATTTTTAGAGGTTTTTTGCTCCTGTGTGCAATTTTTTTGAAATTAATTAAATTTCTTTTTCAGCCCTCTTTTTAGCTTGGAATATGCCTTTTCTCTTTTTTTACTTAATTGAGAAAAAAATATGGGAAGGTCGAGTGTTGAGGATTAAGTTTGATGAATCCGGAATCCGGCTCCGAAAAAAGGCCGGATATCCGGAAATTTACGGTTCGGATATTGGATCCGGATATTCGAAGATTTCCAACTATCCGTCAACCTTATTAAGGTTGAGCTCGTAGTAGGTTTTCTTAGAGATTTCTACCAAAATCGAATTTCCATATTTTTGGCAAAACGTTTTTTAATTTAATTTTCTTGTCTAACCCTCATTTTTAATGCTAACACTTTTTGCCAGTACCACATTTTGCCAATAAGGGCAAAAAATTGGCAAAACGTCTTTTTTAAGCTTTATTGGCAAAATATGGGTTTGGCAAAGTATGGAATTGGCAAATATTAGAAGCCTCATTCTTGTGTAGTCTTTCTTATTTTATTTTCTCTTATTTTTTTTCACGTGCTTTTCATTATAAAAAAGCATTTTTCTAAAAAAATTTTTTTGCTAGTTTCTAATTTTGTAAAGCTTCCGAGTTTTCTCTTTGATAATTTCTTTATTTTAATTTTATAAACTCTTTAAAGACCCCTTCATATTTAAATGGAAACTTAACAATTTTTAGTGTTGTTTCCCTCTCATACCCAATTATTTTTAAAAAAAGGTACATAATGGTCAGACTTTTTGTTATCCTGTAGCAATATTTAATCATTCAGTTTTCCTCCTAATTTGTCATGAACCTGGGGAACATAAGAATCAGAAAATTTCAAAAAAAAGTTAGGTGTTTAGTGTTGTTTCCCTCCCAGTCCCAACTATTTTTCTTAAAAGGTACATAATGGTCAGATTTTTTCACTTTGCTTTCCCTGTAGCAACATTCAATTGGACAGTTTCCCTCAAATTTGTCAAGGACCTGGGGAACTTTCAAAAAAAAAATAGGTGGTTTTTAGTGTTGTTTCCCTCCCATACCCAATTATTTTTTAAAAATGTACAAAACGGTCAGATTTTTTTCCTTCCATAAATTCACTTTGTTTTCCCTGTAGCAACATTTATCCAGTCAGTTTTCCTCAAATTTGTCAAGGACTTGTGGCAAAAAATCATTTAGTGTTGTTTCCCTCCCACACCCAATTTTTAAAAATGTACATAATAACAGACTTTCTTGTTAAAAATTCATTTTATTTTCCCTGTAGCAGTCAGTTTTTCTCAAATTTGTCAAGGACCTGGGGAAAAATCAGAAAATTTCTTAAAAAAATTCAGGGGGAAGACTGACTTTTTTTAAGTAAGTCAACATATTTTAAATCGAAAAGCCAAAGTTTAAATAATTCCTAGAGTTTCCCCCTATTGATCAAATATATTGTATTTATTTTACATTTATTTTCTAGTTCATTCTCATTTTTTATTTCACCAATTTCCAGTTTTTGCTGTGCGCCAAAAAAATTTTTTTTCAAAACGCCAAAATTTGAAAAAAATTTTTTTTTTAATTTTCTGATTTTTTTCCTGTTCCCCCCAGTTCCTCAATATTTTCTTTTTTTGTTTTTTAAAAATCGGAAAAAAATTTTCACAAAAAATATTTCGATTAAAATTATAAACTTTGGCGCACATCCCTCTCTTCTCTCTCACGTTTGTTTATTGACTTTTTGTCAGGTAGGGTCATTTCGGCGCAGAAGCCATGTTGCATTTTGTTTAATTAATCCTTTTTGTTTTAAGCGAAAATCATTTTTCTTTTGTAAATTATAAACAAGTTTTTGATTAATTTTAAAGGATGATTCATGTTGAATAACCCCTTGCTTTTAAATACCCCCTAAGAGGGAAAATTAAATTTTATAAGGAGGTGTATCTAGCAGCCCAACCAGGGGCCAATGGGCGTATCTTAAATTGATGGGTCTCTTATATGGGGGGTGCTTTATAGAGAGGTTTGGCTGTATGTATTTAGAAACGGAAGGTTACCTAATCGACGTCCATTTACCTTTTGCGCCGAAATAACCACGGACCTCCTCTTTTGCGCCACCCAATGCCCAACAGTCTATCTTAAAACTGAGGTGTCTCTAGTATTGGGGGTACTTTATAGAGAGATTCAACTGTATGTAGAAGTGAGTGGTACCCAAAACAAAGCACATTTAGCGTTAGCGTCTAAACAAACTAAGCTTTTCACTCGGCGCCCAAACAAAACTTTTTTGCACTCCGCGCCCAAATATCCTCCTTTCCCACAACTAGTGTCACTTAACTTCACTATTTAACTTTCATCCAATTCTTTTTTTATTAACTAACACAAAAATTCTCTGCTGTTTGCTGCTCTTTTTTTCATCCAATTTTTTTTTCATTTTTGAAGAGCAACCAATACTTTGCATAAATTTAAAAAATATATGTTTTGATTTAATTGATTTTTATTAAATTTTTTCTCTTGTTTTAAGACATTATTTCTAAATTTTTTTTTCAAAATTTTCTTTTTTTTCTGAAATTTTTTCAGAAAATTTTTGCCCCGAAAATCCAGATTTTAATAAATCAATTTATTTTTTCTCAAAATGTCACTTGCCTAAAAATTCTCAAAACGTCCAAATTTCAAAATGCCACACGCCTTAAAAATTTAAAAATGTCCAAATTAAAAAATGTCCAATTCGCCCAGAAATTGTCTTTATTCCCTTAAAAATTAAATACGCGAATGATTAACTTGTTTCATTTATTTGATGTCATATATGCCTTTATCCTTGACCCTGTGCTTGTCTATTTGTTGATTTAATTGGTATTAACCTCAATTTTTTTTCAGCTTTTTTCTTAATTAAAAAATTTTTTTTACCAATTTTAATTAATTTGGGGCTTATTTTTCCTTTTCTTCTGACTTTTAAATATTGCCCAAATTATTTGACACAAAATGGCAAATAAAGGAAGCAGTAGTGGTGGTAGCAGCACTCCTCGTCCAGGCAATAATGGAGGTGGTGGAGGTGGTGGACCTACAAAGACATGTCAATTTAAGGTTTCTTTTAAAAGCTTTGGGGATGATTTTAGGGGCATTAGTGGAGGTTGGGTTAAGTTGTGTAGCTCGTTTTTGATTTAACTGGCCTAGAATTGAAATGGTGACATTTCGTCCCAATATTTTTTTTTCGACTGTTTCCCGCTTGGTGATTCATGAATATTAGTGTAGGGATTGACGAACTTTGGGGATGACTTTTAGGTACATTGGGTGGATGGGTTAAGTTTGTGTGGCTAATTACCCGAAAATTGAAGTGGTGACATTTGGTCCCAAAAAGTTTTTCGACTGTTTCCGCTCGGATGACGCATGAACGGTTGGGATGGGGGAATTCAGGTTCCAAAACCGATTCTGCTTTTCTCTTCCTATAATTAGTCTTCCCTAATTGGAAACGCCTTTCTTTTTAATTCCAAACCGTTTTTGCTTTTCGAAACCAGACAAAGCACTGCTTGTGTTTCTGTAAATGATTCGCGTTCCATTTACTTTCCTTCTCAATATAATGTTCAACTAGGGTTTGAGAAAGGACATGAAACCTTCTTGAACCTTCTGACACGAGTTTCAATCCATTTCACTTAAGTCCCACCCGATTAAGTCTGAGGGGATCAAATGTCATCATTCTTAAATTTTTGGGGAATCCATTTATTTTTTCTTCTTCGCTCAGTTGGTTTTGCTTGGCGAATCTGCTGTTGGCAAATCCTCCCTCGTTTTGCGTTTCGTCAAAGGCCAATTTCATGAATACCAAGAGTCGACAATTGGAGCTGCTTTTTTAACTCAAACAATTTGTTTGGACGAAGCAACGGTCAAATTTGAGATTTGGGACACTGCTGGCCAGGAGCGATACCATTCTTTGGCACCAATGTATTATCGCGGGGCTCAAGCGGCGATTGTTGTTTATGACATTACTAATCAGGTTTATTTTCTGTTTTGGGGGGTTGGGGAAATTTTAGGGGTTTAAGTTGGGTTTGTGCTCCCTTGAGGTCCTTTAGAACATAGTGAAGGATAATCTACTGCGAGCCCAACCTACCGCCGAGCTATAACTTTGTTCAGAATTGTCGAATCCGGGACGCCCTGGTATGGTTTGATTCAGCTCGTCGAGGCGCATCGAGCCATACCAGGGTGTCCCGGATTTGACAATTCTGACCGAAATTATAGCTCGGCAGTAGGTTGGCCTCGCGGTGTACCCCTTTCAGGACATAGTGAAAGTCTAGTTTGAACTAGAGATCTCTTGTTGCCCCTTTAGAAGTTAGTGAAGAGTTATATGAGCATATGTCCGCAAATGTTGTCCGCAAAAATAAGTTGGGGAGGACCACTACTCATTCGGCTTCATGATTTTCGTCTTATTGTTAGTGAAGTGTCTTTAGAGCGACTCATTGTATTACATCAATCTCCCCACGTACTTTTTGTGCCTTATCGGCTTTTGGGTTTTGTGAATATCAAAACAATATATAGCTTAAAAAACTTGCCCGCAAAAGTTGTCTGTAAGACACACGTGTTAGGGAGAGTAAATTCGCCATTTCTAGTGGTTTCAGCCCAGAAGCCCCCCCCCCTTTTGGCTTCCTTCTCGAGTTCCTTTGAGACTTACTATTCCTTCAATACCAATAACTTGGGGCAAATTTAAAAAATTTTTTGTCTTTAAAGGAATCCTTTGCCAAAGCAAAAAATTGGGTTCGTGAACTTCAACGGCAAGCATCTCCAAATATTGTGATTGCCCTTTCTGGGAATAAAGCAGATTTGGCAGCCAAACGTGTTGTTGAATATGAAGAAGCGCAGGCATATGCTGAAGATAATGGACTTTTATTTTTGGAAACTTCTGCAAAATCGTCAATGAATGTCAACGAAATATTTTTAGCTATAGGTTTATTTTCAAATTTTTTGAAAAAAAAATTTTTTTTGGGAGTTTTTAAAGCTTAATTGGGTCTAAAAGTGTTTTTGTTTTTACGTCTATACCACTTAACCAAAAAAAATTGCACCTTCATTGAAACTTTTTCCGGAAATATTTAAATAATTCTGTGTTTTCCGGAAATTATGTATTTTTTCTATTTTTCTGATTGTTGTATTTCTCTTCCGGAAAGTTTTGTGTTTTATTCTGACTTATCCGGAATTTTATTAGGAAGAGAAATGCTCTATGCATCCCCCAGAGTTTTCCGGAAAACACTAATTTTTGCAACTTTTTTCCGGAAACATTTAAATAATTCTGATTTTCCGGAAGGTTGTATTTTTCTCTCCTTGGATGTTTTATTCTGACTTATCCGGAATTTTACCAAGAGAAAAATGCTCTCTACGTTCCCCACGTTATTTTCATGTTTTCCGGAACGATTAATGATATACTATTTAAATTGTTCTTTCTTTTATTTTAAATACTCTCTTTCCGGAAACGTAAAAAAGTAATTTTTGTTTTTCCGGAACTTGACTCTTCCATTAAACCACTTAACCACGAAATTTTGAGTTCATTTTTGCCTATAGATTCTTTGAAAAAAATTTTTTTTTTTGAAAAATTTTGGGGTTTATGGAAATTTTGATTTTTTCGGAATTTAGCAAGAGGGATTTTTTTCTTCATTTTAAACCACTTAACCACAAATTTAGACTGCATAAATAGGTGCAATTTTTTCCTGAATTTTTCGACAAACTTTGGATTACTTATCCTTCCTCTGGAATTAACTTTATTAAGGGGTATATTTTTCCGTTTCCTCTAAAAAGCTCCTCTTAACATCTTTTCGAATTATATTTTTCTAATTTTTTCAATTTCAGCCAAAAGATTGCCCAAAAATGAGGGAGCTGGTGGTGGCGGTCCAGCAGGTCGAGGCCGAGAAGGTGTCAACATTGGAGAGGGTGAAGGTCAAAACCAGGCTCGACGTTCGTGCTGTGGTGGTGGAAGTGGAAATTGACAAAGAAAAGAATAAAATCAAAAAAAGAAAGGAGAAATTTGTGGTTTGAAAGTGATTCTTAAAGGTTTATTGTGTGATGATTTTATTTTTCCTCTTCAAAAGTATTTTTTGAAAATTTTAAGATTTTTTTAAAAAATTTTTGGAAATGTTTTCGGAGGGGTAGGACCACGTTTTGAAAATTTTTTTTTTATTTTTGGGGTGTGGGACCTGGATTTTTTTTTAGAAAATTTTTTTTTCATAGGGTTGGGACCGGGATTTTTTTTAAGAATTTTTTTTGAATTTCCTCCCAGTTTTTTTTTTCAAATTTTGAATCAATTATCATCACACACATCTTTTTTCATACTTATATACATTTATCTTTTTTGCTTATAAGCACTCCTTTTATTATTTTACATTATTCTACTTTTGGGGAGGTGGTTAATTTTTACATTATATAAATTTTACAACTTTTTTTTAATTTTGTTTACCTGAATGGATTAAAACCCATTTTAAATATTCTTAAAAACTTTTACCAATTACCTGTTTTTAATTTTTGTTTAGGGTTTTTAAAAAATGCGTGGGGATAACACGACCTGGGATGCAATAGATCAATTTAATTTGGATCAATACAATCCGCGAAGGCGACAAAGTCTGAGCGAAAACGTTTCTGATTTGGCACCCCCACGTGGAGCAGCAACTAGTGCACGTGCACGACGTCATGTAGGAAGAGGAGCAAGTATTCAAACTTCTCCTCAACATTTTAATGGTTTGTTTTTCTTATAGTATTTATTATTTAATGGTTCTTGGGTATTTTTGTAGGGGTTTAAATTGTACGTATGTTCCATTACTTTTAAAGATTCAGTATGTATAAACGGTGTGAATTATAGGTTTCCTTTAGGATCAATTTTTAGTTTGCTTGACTCGATTCTTATTTTTAATGTACAAATTTATATTTTGTTTTTAATTCAGATTTTGTTTCAACCGCTGTGGTAGAGGAAACGATGTGGTTAAAGGTTAACTTACAATTTAAACTTGATATTTAATTAAATGTAGGGCATTAACAAAAAATTTTTAATTAAATTAAGAATTTTGATTAAATTAAAAAAATCTAATTTATTAAAATTTTTTTATTTTTTCAAAATTTAGGTGTGGAAATTTTGCAAAAAATATTGTCATATAATCTTGGGTTTACTTACTCTAGTTGCGAGCGTTCTTGGCATTGTGCATGAAATTAGAGAAGGTTATAAATTGTTGGAAGAATCTTTTGACAAAAAAATTATGGAAGAGTTCAAAGCATTCAATATTTCTTTTGAAAATCGGGTATTTTTTTTTATTATTTTCGCGTACCTATTGATTTTTTATCAATCAAAGGAAAAAAAGTTAATTTTGAGACAAAAATGGGCCTAGGATATAAAAATAACAAAATTTTTAATTAAAGTTTATTGGACTTGAAAAGAATATGAATGATAAATTTTTAAAAATTGAGGAAGAATTAGTTCAAATTGGTAACAAATTTAACTCTATCGATGCTAGATTTTTGAAGATAGAACATGACTTGTTCACATTAAACGAGACGGTTTCATGGATTATTAAGAATACAGGTATGGGACTTCCACCTCCATACTCATTTAATCAATTGCCTTACCACCCTCCAATTGTATAGATTTTTTTGTTTTACAAAATAGATCTCCTAGACTTTTATTTATTTATTTATTTACGCCTTGATGGCGCGAGTCAAGTCAAAAAACAATAAAAAACGAAATCAAGTAAAAAAAATATATATAAAAACAAAATCATGTCAATAAATTAAAAAACAAAAAGAATGTAAATAAATAGTATATAAAAAAAATTATAAGTATAAATTTAAATTTAACTTAATTCAGCCTCCGAATTGCGGGAAAAATTAATATGTGTTATGTTTTTTGCGAAATTTTTGTAATCTAATTTTCTAAAGTATGCTGGTAGTTTATTATAATACCTTATAGTCCTTACAAAAAATGAATTATGTCTAGTAATTGAGGTGCATGCTTTATGTGATATTTTGTTTTCGTCCCCCCTTGTTTTAGATGGAATGATGAAATAGGGGTTATTTATATTTATTGGGCTTAATCCTATGCAATGCTTGTGAAAGATTTTAAGATCTGTTATAATTCTTCTATTCTCTAAAGAATCTATATGATATAATCTGAGGAGTTCAGAGTAGTTAGGGATTTGTTCATTAAGTTTTATATTATGCTTGCGGTTATATACCATCCTTACGAAATCTTTTTGAATCTTTTCTATTTTGTTAATGTATTTTTTATAGTAAGGATTCCAGACAGGAGAACTAAATTCCAATATACTTCTTACATATGTGGTGAACATATTAATTAAGAATCTTTCATCATTAGATTTTAAGGACCTAAGAATTGTATAACTAATTCTCCTAGCTTTATTACAAATAATGTCGATATGATTATGGAATTTTAACTCATGGTCAAAGAAAATACCCAAATCCCTTACAGTTTGATTTCTACCAATTTCTGTTATGTGTGTATCTTCTATTGTATAAATGGTGCGAGGATTTTTAGTGCCTAGATGTAATATATTACATTTCTTTATAGCTATATCCAATCCGTTTATTTCTGTGTATTCGGAAAATTTTTCAATAAATTCTTGCAAAGGGTTTGAATTGACTGGATTGTCTTTGAAAATGTAATACGCCTTAATATCATCTACATATAGTTTAACAGTTACATTTTCTGTATAACAGAATTCAGTTAAATCGTGTATATAATATAAAAACAATATGGGACCAAGTAGGGAGCCTTGCGGTACTCCGCTTTTTATGAGCCTTTTTTCAGAAAAGGATTCATGGATTTTTACAGAGAAAGTTCTATTGCTTAAATAATCTTTGAGCCATTTAGTTAGAGTATCTGGAATATTTAATGATTTTAATTTACTTAATAATCTTTCGTGGGATATGGTGTCAAATGCTTTTGACAGATCGAAGTAGATTATATCTACGGATTTTTTATTTTCTAATGCCATTGTAAGATCATCCATAACTTCTAGAAGTTGGGTTGTTACGGATCTACCCATATGGTATCCATGTTGCTCTTGTGGAAAAATTCTGTTTTTCCGGGCATGTTCAACTAATTTAGAGGCTAATATTTTTTCTAAAATTTTGGCAGTTGAGCAGAGGAGAGAGATTGGTCTAAAGTCGTTAGATTTTTTAGCTTTTGGAATCTTTTGAATTGGAACGATTATACTTTCTTTCCAGAGATCAGGTACCTTTTTTGTCATTAATGATAGAGAGAATAAACTTAAGAGTGGATATGCCAATGTTTGTGCACAGTTTTTAAGAAAGATATTAGGTATATTATCAGGTGATGTGTTATTCTTATTATCTAATTTTGTTAAATAATTAAATATATCGTAAACTGAAAAATCCATGTAATCTATTGTATTCAATAGTGGGGAAGTTTTGTTTGTAATTTGTGTGTTAGTCCCACTGTTTTTAAAGATTGAACTGAAATGAGATGCAAGTATGTTAACTTTCTGTTTATTTGTGAATATTATGTTATTGTGATCGTCTACCATTGTTGAGTATTTCAAATTTTTTGATTTAAGAAAAGCGCCAACATATGCGAATTTCTTTTTTGGGTGGGGTATTATTCTTTTTTCTTTATTTTTCCGAAATTTCAGCATCTGTTTCCTTATTAGATGAGTTACCTTCAAATAGTTTGGCCTATTCGTTTTATGAATGTTTCGTTTCCATAAACCCTCTTGAGTGTCTAATAATTTTGTAATATGAGTCGGTAATCCTTTTAGTTTATTTTCTATAGTTAAACAGGGTATAAAAAAGTTTATAGTTTCGTTAATTATGTCAGAAAAATTTTTATAGTTGATGTTTATATCATTGGAGTGCCCAAATATGGTTATCCAATCAATTGAAGCTAGGTATTGGTTAATTGTTTTATAGTCCGCTTTTTTAAAATCCTTGATATATTTTGTTGGTTCATAAGTTATTATTTGTTCTAGTTCAAAAATTATACTGTTATGATCCGATGTTGAGAAAGGGGGTGCTATTTCTAACTTGTGTATTAAGTTGTGTGTGTTAGTAAAAACAAGATCTAATATATTTTTTCCCCTAGTACCTTGAGAGACAAGTTGTATTAACTGTTGGCTATTAGTAAACTCACAAAATTCGTTTTCAATCTGAGTGGTGTGTGAAACGGGTAAGAATTGTTCCCATTCTATTCCAGGAAAATTAAAATCTCCCAACATTATACACGCATTTTCAGTGGTGCAGCAGTATAATATATTTTCCAAGAAATTAGAAAAATCTTGTGATTTTTGAAACCCAGGGGGCCTGTAAACAGCAATAACTCTTATTGTTTGGAGTTGCGGTAATAACAAGTCGAATGATATTAGGTTGAAACTATTTGTTTTTAAAATTTTGGACTGTTTGAACGGTAATGCCTTATGAATTAGAACGCAAACGCCGCCACCTTTTTTGGATGGTCTGTCTGATCTTAAAATCTCATAATCTAATGTATGTAGAATAAAACTATCACAAATTTCTTTATGAAGCCAGGATTCGCTAACGACTATGATTTGGTATATATGGGTGCTTAGCAATGACCGAAATTCATTCATTTTATTTAATAAACTACGAGCGTTAAAGCAAATGCATTTTATATTTTTGGATTTTTTAAAATTTTTCTTTTTATTTTTACAGTTCTTATTGATTATTTGTACGCAATTCGGAGTTTTTTGGGCTGTTTTATAAATTGGCTGACAAGTTAGTGGGAGGAGATTAAGTTTTTTGAGTGTGGATTTGTATTTATGGTTGTGCGAAAAATTGGGATCTCCTCCCGCAAAATTACCATACCTGCATATATAATGAAGTCGGCACCGGGATGCGCCTTACGTTTTTCATGACACTCTTTAATAAGAATAGATCGATTGGCAAGTTCTGTTTTGGAAAGGGACTCTCGCAAATGTAAATGTTTGTATTGATTTTTTAGAAATTTTTTGCCTGAGAGTGCCTCCCGAACAGCATATGAACAAGGAAATTTAATTTTAATTGGGCGAGGTTTATTTTGATTAATTTTCCCCATACGAAAAATCCCACTTGGCAAAGCACTTGAAACCTTACATTCATTTAAAACCTGTAAAACTCGTTGTTGATCATCCTTAGCCTTCTCCATTGATTCGGCTTGTTTACTTTCTGGTAATCCATTAAGCACGAGACAGTGGCGTCTTTCCTTCTCTTCCATTTCTTGCCTAAATTCACCATATTGAAGTTGGTTAGATTGTTGATTCCCAGTTTGTTGTTGTTGTTCCACTATCAATTCAGAAGTCAATGTTAATATCTGCTGCATTTGGGTCATTAGAATTTTTACCCACGGAGGTGTTGTGGTGTCGTTATTCATTTGTTGTAAAATTTCTTGAAAATTTAAATTATTGATTTGCTCAATTAGTCGTGAGCGTTTGTCGTTAACTGATGTGCCAGATAAATTTAATGGCGTATTTGCATTTCTTTTTGTGGATGTTGATTGATTATTTATTGACGACATTTCCATAAGTTATTACCCAGAGTAATGTAACTTAAATCTTAAACTTAAACTTGGGTAATTAAACCAATACGGTTATATGTTCAATTGCAATGCTCAGTAAAAAATTTAAATATATAATTAAATAAATCTCTATTTGACCCATATATTTCCATACTTAAAATATACCCATAAATATATTCTCTCCTTTATAAAACCTCGGACTTTTATATATACTTTCTATGGACATGAATATACAGTCGAATTTCGATAAAACATCACCCCGGGACCAAATTGAGCAGATATCTTGGTACAGCTCGATTAGGCGCGACCGACTATGCGCCAAGCTTTTTAATATAAGTATAAAATACTATCTGATTGATTCTTTTTAAAATGTTATTAAACAATTCAATATGCTATTTTTTAGCTTCTATTATGCTTCATGCTTCAGAAAGCAATTGCGAAAAATATTCTCATAACGGCTTCTGTTATGTGAAGGATAAAGGAAGTGCGGATGATGAGCGTATATTTTGGCGATGTGATGAGAAAGGTAATGGCTCTAAGGTTTATTCGGCTTGTCACGCAGCATAGCTATTCATCAACTGGTAGACAATTGTGTTTTCTCAATTCTGGTCGTTTTAATATTTCGTTTTGAATATTCTTAATTTTCTGTTATATCTATTAAAATTTGAAGTTGTTTTATTTTTTCGCTAATTGATTATAATCAAATTAAATAACTATTGTGTATTTAATTAAAAAGACTGGCGCCTAATCGGACCGCGCCTAATCGGGCGTGTTCCGATATCTTAATGAAAAGACGTGTCGGGACTCATTTTCTCACTACGACACATTTTTCGGAACCGAATTTACTGACGTAATAGGGAAAGTGCTAGTGAGGGAGTCGTTCTACCGAGCTTCGACTATACTTATTATGTTGTGTTAAGAAATTATAACTCAACCTATTTTTTTCCGTTTTCCGTGGTTCCTATTGTTAAATAAATCCTAAATTCTTATAGGATATTTATGAACACCATTAGATAAAAATTAAGATTTATTGGACATTAGGAACAATGAAAAACAGAAAAAATAGGTTGTGTCATAATTTCTTAACACACCCTACTTATTTATCTCAAAATTTTCACTTGAAAATTTTTTAATTTAATTTATTGAATAAACCTCAGATTTTTTATAAATTGCATTTATGGAAAATTTTAAAGACTCCTTGATTCTCATAATCTATTTTTTTTAATTTTTACTAAAAAAAATTTTTTTCCTCAATTTTTTAACTACCATATTAATCTAAGAAATTACAAGGCAAGAAAAAGAAAATGGTGTCAATTTATGACAATTGGGTTTTGGAAATGCAAAAACTTGTTGAAGTTAGGGAAAAGAATATTAAGGTTTCTTTTTATTAGGTTTTTTGGGCAATTTCTAACTTCATTTTTTTTTCTAGTTTCTCGAAGAATCACAACCTTTTGATGACCAACGTTTACGTTCTTTAGACGCTACATTAAAAAAAGTGACAGCATTTACCAAAAAATTAAAAAATGTATCGTCAACGACAATTAGTCAATTATTACCAGATTTGGAAAAATTAAATTTGAGGTATTGTGTAGTCCCCCCCCCTCCCCCCACCTCCTCATATAAGTGCCCCCCTTACTTATTTCCCCTTTTCCCGTCCCCTTATCAATATTGACCCAAATGTCATGCTTTAAGAAAAGGAAGAGGAAAGAAAAAAGGGGCGGGGTTTATGGAAAAGGGGCGGGGCTTATGGCAGGGGGGGAACTACACAAATACCCCAAATTTAAGTAAATATTTGGATGAAATTGCTTTTAACATTTGTGAAGCAAAAATTAAAATTGCTGATTTGGCCAGTCTAGTTGATTTTATTGTCAAAATTTCGTCATTATATAATCAATTTTCAACGCATTTATTGAATGAATTTAAAAAGCAAATGCCTTCAAAGAAGACGGATAAAGTGGAGAATCCGTCAAAATTGAGAGTTGATTTGAGGTTTTTTTTTATTTTAAATTTTTTATGACTGGGTGATAGTTTAGGGATTTTTTTAAATTTATGTAAAGTGAGGGGGTTTTTAATGTAAAATCGTTTTTTTGGGGGGGGGGGTATGCTCGTAAGGTCTTGAGGACATTTTTAAAGAACCGTCGGTTAAAAATCAAAAAAAAAATCCTAGCCAAATTCTAGTATTATAACTTTTTTAAAATTAATACTTGAGATCAATCCCCTAGTTACTCTTAGTCAGGCAAGGATATTTATAAGGCTATTATTTTTAGGGGTAAATTTAAAATCGTTTTTGGGAGGGGGAGGGGGGATAAGAACTAAAAAAGATCAAAACCCCATATATCGAGTTCTGATCTTTTTTAGTTCTTACAAGAGGTAGGTTGGGTTGCTCGCTATCTGAAACCTTAACTTTTTTCGGCACGAAATTTGAAACCCAATCCTTAGAAAAAATATGGAAATTTGAACCTATCTTCTAATTATTCTAAAAAAATTCTAAAAAAATTTTCCAGATTTTTCACAGAACTTTTACTTAATGGAATATTTGGACGTGAAGGACTTCAATTACTTGGGGCTGTTTTAGCTTTTTTGGTCAACACAGATAAACAAGAACATTTAAATACAAGTGTGTTGATGCCTTTTTGTAAGGCTCATTTTTTTCCAATTACTGGGATTTTGCCGTATTCTATACAAAAGGAAATTGGTGAATTAGAAGAGAAGGGAAAAGAACATGCTAAATTAATTTCAACGGTAATATTTTAAAATTCCGGAAAATACAACACATTCAATTTATTTGTCTCCGGAATGCATAAAAGAATTCCTGAAATATTTAAATCCTTTCCGGAAAAATATAAAGAGACTTTCCGGAAAAAATACAAAAAGTATTCTGGAAAACACAATTTAAATGTTTTCCGGAAAAATAAATTAAAGTATTTTCCGTAAAGAGAAAATAAAATTCCGGAAAACACAATTTATTATTAGACCTTCCGGAAAAGTCAAAAAGTATTCCGGAATAATAAATTCTAATGTTTCCGGTAATGAAAAATAAAATTCCGGAAAACACAAACACATCCGGAAAAAATTGCAAAAAGTATTCCGGAAAACACAACAAATAAATTAAAGTGTTTTCCGGAAAGGGAAACACACAATTTATTATTAAACTTTCCGGAAAAGTCAAAGAATATAATTCTAATGTTCCCAGTAATGAAAAATAAAATTCCGGAAAACACAAGCATTTAAAAACAATTCTTTTTTTAACCAGAATTTTTTCAGTTATTTACTGCAGAGCAAAGAAGCATTCTTTCAAAAACACTTGATGATTATTGGCAATCTTTGGTAGAACATACAAATAAAAAATATCTGGAAATGAATAAATTGAAAAAGTCGATAAGACGACAGGAGAGGACTAGAGGTTTTTTTTTTGAATTTTTTAAGGAAAAAATTTTTTGAAATTTTTTCTTGATTTTTTTTAGAATTTTCGAAATTTTTTTTCTTTGAAGTTATTTTTCTGAATTTTTTTTTCTGATTTGTTTATTTTGAAAATTTCTTCCAAAATTATTTCTGAAATTTAAAAAAAAATTTTTTTGTGATTTTTGAAAATTTTTCTGAATATTTTTCGAATTTTCTTACTTGAAAATTATTTTTCTTTAATTCTTTTCAGATTAAAAAAAAATTTTTTTTCGAAAATTTCTTCCAAAAATTTTTTCTGAAATTTTTGAAAGAAATTTTCTTTTTTAAATTTTTTAAAGAATTTTTATTTTGAACTTTTTTCCATTTTTAGGAAAAAAATATTCTGGAATTTTTTCTGAAATTTTTGAAAGAAATTTTCTGAAATTTTTGAAAGAAAAATTTTTTTAAAAAATTTTTCTCTGAAAAAAAATATTTTTTGAGGTGATGCTTCCGCTGATGACCGTCAACGTTTTGAACAAACCAAACAACATTTTGAACGTCTCCAAACTTCTTTGGAAGAATTAACCGAGTGTTTAGGCCATCCACCTATTCAACTCCCTCCAGAAGAAACTAGTGAAGATGAAAGAGAGGCCGATGCAGCTGTAAATCGTTTAACTGAAGAATTGAGTGAAGGAAGAATTTTAATTTGGCCTGATCGTGATACTCAACTTTTTTATGAATCTTTAATTGATGTGACTGCTTATACACCTACTGTTGCTGCACAGACGGCAGATGCGGGAGGAATTGAACAGCAACAGACTAAAGAGGTTTTTTAATTTTGATTTTTTTAGTTTTTCGGTCCGGGACCCTATATCTATGACTTTTTTCGACTCGAAATCTGATCCGAAAAAATCCGAAACCCCGACCAGAAATCTGACTTTTTCTCAACCCAAAACACACTCCTGATTTGAATTGTTTTTAGATACCCATCGAAAAAATTTTGGGTTTGGTTGGCCTCTTTAAGATCGTTTTTTAATGAGGTTAGACGTAGGATTTGCCTAGTCACTGCCTAATGTATACTAGGAGATACCTTTTTACAAAATTTCATCGCTTATGGGTATTTGCTAATAAGTTTTGGTTTAATTTTTATTTTTAAGCATATTGTAACTGAATCTATTGAAAATGTTGATTTAAGCTGTTTGGAAGAAGTACAGCCTACAGATGAGATGGAAACAACTGCTGCTGCAACAACAAATTTACTGGAAGTTCCTGAAGAAGAGGAAATTTCACAATCAACAGAACTTATAGAGGAGCAAGAAAGTATATATAAAATATTTTTTAAATTTTTTCATTATGAACGATTAGAAAATTGCCCACAAAAAATTTTTTTGTGCACGCATTTGGTGCGCGCAGAATTTCACTTTTTTGCTCAATCTCCTCCTAAAATTTCTCTTTTAGCCCTAGAAGCCCTACGCCCTGGCGGACACCCACTTTTATATGTGGTATCATTTGGAGACTCTCCCCGGTGATTACCCAGATTATACATCTAATTCTGGAGGTATACTGTCTTATATCGAGAGGTTTAACTATTCCGCAATTTTTTCCTTTATCAAATTTAAACAATCTTTTCAATTTTATCCGAAAATCAAGGAAAATCACGACTTTTAACGGGATTTTTTTAATTTGGGGGATTTTTTTAGCCCCAATTAAATCATAATTTATTCAAAAAATTCGATCAGAAATTTTAACCAGAATTAATTTAAAAAATTAAAATAAACTGGAATAATTAATCCATTTTCTAGCAATTTATCAATCACCAGACTCAGCAGCAACAATTACCACCCCCACAACTACCAACAATTTTTCTGAATTACTTGGACGTCTCCCCCAATCAATAAATAAAGAATTAATTGATTCAATTTCAATAGATTTTTTAAAAAATTATTCTAGAATTAAAAGTAATCGAAAACGTTTAATTCAACATTTGCAACAACCGCCGGAAGGACGTTTAGATTTGTTACCTTTTTATGGGAGGTTTATGGCTACAATTAAACCTGCATATCCGGAAATTACTACACAGGTTATTTAAAAATCAGAATTAATTTTTCGGAAAATCAGAATTGTGTGAAAATTTAATCAGAATTTAATTTTTAAAAGCAGAATTTATTCAAAAATTGACCAGAATTTAACCAGAATAATTTTTTAAAAATCAGAATTTAATCAGAATTAATTTTTAAAAATCAGAA